GATATGTATATTTCTTCATAATTATATAAATTTGAAGCATTTAACCATCCTATTTTACATTCAGCAATAAAATTTTATTTTCTCCTCCATCTGGATAATTTTGGCAAAACTACTTGCTAAATAAGAAACAAAATTTTATTTTTATTTCGCCCTCCTCTGATAATCTTTAAAAAAAAATAAGTACGCGAAACAAGAAATAAAAAAGTCTCGCCTAATTTATAATTATTGTTTTGGTGTACTGTATGACATTTTGTGCTATACTGCAAGTCCAAGCCTTTGCACCGGGAGTCAATAATGAACTCATGCATAACACAAGACCTTGGTAAACACAAATACTAATACTACTATATAATTTAAATGAAAAATATAAATAAATAAATATAATATTACCTGTGCATGTAGTATATTCCCAAGACGACAATGACGACTATTATAAATAGGAACACAAATATCAAACCAACTGCCAAGCCAACATTTGAATCGGAGCCATTACCAATCTCACCAGTCAGGGGAGGGGTTGTCCCCATTGTGGGGCTAGGGTTTGGGGTAGCTGCAAAAAATAAGTACAAAAACTGTCAAAATAAAATACAAAACCATACATGTCAGTATTTGAATTGCAAGAAACACTTCAAAATGTCTTACGTGAAAAAGTAGCCATGTTTACCAAGTTTCACATTGGTATGGCAATACATAAATGAAACTAAATCTCACTATTAACGGATATATACAAAAATGGTTTCTAATTTGTATCACTCAGAGAATTACAAGTAATTATAAAACATGAAAATTAGAAAAAAAAAAATGTTTTTTATTTTTGTCATGGTTTTCAGTGAAATAAACTTTACAAATAAATAGATGTTTACATAAAATAATAATACTTAATATTCGAAAATTCAACAGATTTAAAGATTAGAATATTGCAGTTCCTTGACCATTAACTTTCACGTAGTCAGCGGGCCATTTAAAAAAAAAATTCTTTTCCAATACTTTTACACTGATTGCGTGTTTTGTGGCAACAATACGTCACATGGACACACTCTTTTCGTTGATGCTAAATTGGCCCACTGACATTCAGATTCGTCTCTCATTACGGACATAAAATGTAATAGAAAATGGAAGAAGTAGATGTAATTTTTAATTGACATAAAATACTTTTATCACTCTGATTTAAAGGGAATGGATTTATTTTCTGAAGGAAACATACTAAGGATAGCCCAAGATACTGTAGTAAGTCAAATTTCAAGTGGGGACCCTTGTCAATGTTGGGCAGTCAATTTTGCAATAAATTTAGAATGAATACACTGTGTTTGATAACATACAAAACAGGGACTTAATGCACAGGACTTAAGGTGTCAAGATGTAAATGTGACAGCATTAGATTCAAACTCATTATGATCTGTTTGATTGGAAGGATTCAGATCCAGATTTATATTCAATTATATTTGTAAAATATGGAAATAGCTGCAAGTACATTTTCAGGTCATTAATTAAGGCACCAATGTCACATGATACGAAATCCACCAAGTGACAAGAATCTATTTAGGTGTGTTATAAAAAATATTACCCTGCACTAAATTACATTCATGAATTTTTTTAAATCAGGTTTTTCATAACTGAATACCTCTGTGGCAATTACACAACCAAACCATTAACCATTACCTAGTGCATTATCAGTCGCTGTTCCAAATGGAAAGCTAGGACTAAAAGTAGCAGGTGCTGAAAATATAGAAACGTGGCTGTCAAAAACCTTATAGCAACATCATCAAAAAGACATTGTTAAAACATGGCTTTCGTGACTGTTGTCACCCCAGTTGTTGATTGGCTCACTTTACAACACTTCATGTGTCTTCATGTTCCTTCAATAAGCTGTCCATCCTAGGACTATGATGCAGCGCTAAATAAATTCTTTCAAGTGCAATGAGTGAAAGATAAAAGCACCGTAGATAATGTTTAATAAAGTAGGATTTGTCAGGAGCAAGCTTTAGGATACATTAGATTTGGTATGAAATGTTTTAATTCTAAGCTTGCCTGAGTAATCTTACGCCAAGCATGTTCTTCAGGCAAGTTAACCCAGACAAGATGAACAGGTCAATCATACTATGTCAGGTGTTGAACACTGCACAGTGACCTCAGGTCAAAATGTGATCATTCACAGGCAGTTTTGCAATGTTTTCCTTTTTGCTGCACCCAAGCAAAACCTTTTGTTAATGTTTAGTGTCATTGCCCACTGAACCAGCAAGCACATTAGATCAGGATTAACGATTCTGCATACCTTTACCTGGCTTTATGACAAGTCTAAACAAAGTTGCCACAGACTAGTCTGAAAACAGAGCCAAAGTAAGGAAATCTTCAGGAAACTACAAATTTCTAAATGTGAAGAATACCAAATATATACTTTATGCCATTGAAATAAGAAACTTAATAGTACAGATTGCAATATAGATCAGATGATAAAAAAAGAAATATTAAGAATATTCCAAAGCATATTCCAAGGAATACATTGCAGAACAGTAGGTTTCTGTAGATGTTAACGCATACAGTATCTAAGCAATACAGTATCTACAATAAAAAATTCTCTTATGTTGTAGAACTGATTTTTCTAAGACAGAAAAAGTTGTTTGATGAAAAACTAGGGAATGGTGAATGAGATACAGATTTTTGAATATTTAAAAACTGTGTGAAAAAGATGTAAGAAAGGGCGGTTTCCCAGTTTTTTAATATTTAAAGATCTGTATCTCATTCACCATTCCCCAGTTTTTCGTCAAAAAACTTTTTTGTTTTAGAAAAATCAGTTCTACAACACATCAAAATTATTTTTTCCCTCCGGAGCCTAAGTCCTGTCAACACTACAACATTTTATGTTACAAATAAATGTGATATGAACATATTTAGATGTAATATGACATCGTCATGCCCATATATGGGTACAAAACACAATTTTTCACATTAAATTTGATAGTAGAGGAGCATTAGAGAGATACAGACTATCAACTAAATAGGCTCAGAATGTACTGTAATACAAAAGCCCAAAAGCAAAGAGAGAAGGGCTACATGGTATACACACCTCATTATATTATTATACAGTAAGCTCATTAGACCAAGACTTGCCCAGTAAAATAGCAAAGCGACTATGATGACATGCTGTCATGGTTGAGACACCTCATTATAACTTTATTAGTTCACAGTACAACAAATAACTAATACAAAGATGAATGGCAGATGTGCTATAGACACCTCATTATAAAACATTCCAGGAAGAAATCAGCATTATAACAAGCCAAAGTATAGTAGGACCAAAATAAAAAAAATATATAAATGAATTAAATAAACAAATTTATTACAATTTAAAAGTTTAATCAACACATAATGGTTTGGGGAAGGGGTTAGTGTAACCCCCAATTGTGCTATTTATATATTTCATGTACAATAGCTCTTTCTGTTTTTTTAAGGACTTCAACTTGATTAAATAATGTATTATGGCAGTCTCTGAGGGTTAACAATCAACCTCTGCAAGATGTACTATAACAGACATCGACATCTGCCTTTTACTACTGAAAAACCTCCGATATGAGTCTCAAATTGCCTGTAAACAGTGCACTGATATGTGTGGTGTTTCTAGTCTAGTTTTCTTTAGATTCACAGTAATTTTGGTAACTATCTTTCTTTTGAGCACCTTCAGCACTGCTACAGTGGATCAAGAGCGTGTTATGTCTTATTATTATCATTAACAATGTAGGTGGCTGTGTTAAATTATTGATAAATAAAATTAATAAATTATAGGATGGGGAACAGAATTCAGTTCTTACCTTCAGGCCTTGAGACAGTAAATGTTACAGGAGTTGACTCTGGACCATCGTACTTCTTAGAAGGCTCTGTTGCACTCTCAGTTGTGGGAGTGATAATTACAGTATAACTGAGATCTGTCGTCATATCTTTTTCGATTGTGCCCGTATAATATTCATGAAAGACCTCGGAAACAAGCACACCATTTGTCTGATACGTGTTTGGGTGTAGTTTAACTTCGTAGGAGGTGTAATTTGGGTAAAATATTTCAGGACGATCCCAGGTAATAAGGAACGTCTGACCAATTAGCTGAACCTTTACATCTTTAGGCTGGCTTGGAACTGCATGAAAAAAGAAAAATATATTTAATCTTTTATTAGACTAAAAAAATAAATCAGAATTTAACAGGAAATAAACTTGCGATTTCCTTTTCCTGTTCCTCCTTTATGCTAATCTGAAACCTAGTCAATGCAGGGCAATGATATCCTTCAGGGCACAAAAAAAACCCCAAAAAAAAACAATGCTCTATAAACTATATAAGTCTCCTTAGAAGGCTTAAGGAAATGGAAGTTACTTATGTTTTTGTTTCTTTTTCTGTGTTACGTCCTTTGCCCGTGTCAAGCAAGTTTTTATACCTCGAAGTCAGGTCCTAACTCAGGGATACTTTCGAGTACTCAAAATTAAAACATGTAGAAATTAGAGTTGCCCTTTTTTTAGTTGCAAAACAAAAACCTTGACACTTTATAGGATTTGAAAGCAACACACTAGATTGGAAGACAAAAAGAGCAGCTTAGCTCAGTCGGCTATGCAGACAGATGTGCTATGTGTGCACTTCACCCTCTGTTCTTATGTTTCAGCTGGGGATTTGAAATGCAAGCTATATGATAATGCTCACTGGTAGCATCTAAAGTATGTTGCAATCGTGTAAATGTTCAACTAAAAAGGAATGTTAAATGAAAGCTTGTGAATTTATCCGGGTACACAAACCAGTAGTTTACTATAAATCATTCAGCTATAGAACAACTGCTTTTGGAATGGAACACACAGTGTTCTGATTTTTCATTGTTAGTCCACTTTTTCATTATTTTTTTTCATTTCATTTCTTTAGGCACGAGCGCCAAGGGTATGCCAATAAGTGAACTTATGTGGCATATCCCCCCACGGGGGACTTAATGAACCAGTACACCGGGGTAACCCCCTACTTTTTTCTCGAAGTGCACACGACCAAAATGTGTACACTTTTATCCATGTTCTAAACATTTAGAATTCATACTCAAATTTTGCACCACAAACATGTACTTCTTATGTACAGGATTACATTGAAACACACATAAATCTAAACACAGTACAGTATTTACTTCTGATAACAATGAACATCATATTCATAATTCAATTAATTAAATGAATATTTATTAGACCGGTTTAAAAAATAATATGATTTTGCACTACCAATGTACACCTTTTTGGGTAGTATTTCATGTTTAAAAGATCAGCAGTTAGTCGACTACTATACAGGAAGTTAGTCTAATTACTCCATCCGTATAACGACGACGTTCTTTAATTGATGTACGCTTCACTGCTCAAGTAGATGTGCTAAAAAATAATTTTGTTTTTATAAACTTTCATTCAAATAAATTTTATTATCTGATTATGAAATCTGTTTAATTTTTTTATGATTTTGTTAATTTATGAATTAATGATATTGGCTAATGTTCATGAACTAATGTCAATGAGCTGTAAGTAAATGAGGTATTATTAAAAAATAATGTTAATGAGCTAATTTTAATAACTAATAATCATGAGCTCCTGTTTTAGTAAAATAGTGAAATAATATAATTATCATTTCATGGTGTGCAAATCTCTGACATAAATATGTGTACCTTATAAATTGTTGTTAATATGATTTAGGAAATTCATTTTTGTGATATAATGTACTTTGTATCAGGAAATACTGTACGAAAGTTTCAATTAGAAGTTTGATCGATATGAAATGATTGTTGAATGTAGACAATTCACAATAGTTGTAAATTTAAATTTTGTTTCCGTTTACTTTATTTGATTGATATGTTGTTTATGAATGATAAAAATAAACATGAAAGCAAAAGCCAAATTTATACAGCATTGTATATCTATAAAATCATTTTAATATTATAATTGCTTACTTTGTATATTAAATAAGTTATTAACTTGCATTTGCAAATTACAACAAATGAAAGTAATATTATTTTGGTGTTAGAGCCTACAAATCTGATTTTCAAGTTACGATCAATGAATATTCAAATGAGACTAGGATTAAGGTTTCTCCTGGTATATTATTAATATTATTTGAACAAAAACCTCATTTGACATTTTCCCTCAGCCTCAATTTGTTCTTATTTTGTTCTTAATATTTAAGCAATTTCAGCTTCAGTGTGTAATATTAATACCTTAATGGCTTAATGTATAATGTAATTCATATGTTTTTTTATGTTTGTATAATTATTATAATCCATGTTTACAATAGCGTTAAACCATGATTTAATGATAATAATAGTAGTAATAAAAATTGAATAACTATAAAGAGCAAATCTTGTTTATTCTGTACGGATAATACTTTAATGATAATAATAAACATTTAATAAAAAAAATTAGTTTACTGTAAAATAAAAGTAAAATATCAATGATTTGATACTAATTTTCTCTTACTTTATGTTGTACTGTATATCCTGCCATATTGCAAAGACAGAGTGACACCATAACATTACATAACATCCCACATGCAGAATCAAAGTCCTGAAATACGCTATTTCTTAATTGAAAATCATGCACTTATAATTAAAGAGTTTAGAACTGCAAGAGGTCAAACTCTTGTGGTTTCGCTGAAACATAATCCTATTTCAAAATGTACTGCCACGAAGGGGCGTGTCCCTAAAAGACGAGTTTTGAACGTACTCTATTCGCATCGGATTCAAATGTTGCATTTGTGTGCACACAAAATCAGGGCAGTTCGACCTCTTGCAATTCTAGTGTTTGCTAATATCATAGATGCTTAGACTACTGACTGATAATGATATTAAAGCCAAATAAGCTGAAGACGACTTTCAATTGACATGTTGACAAGGACGCGAAGCCCCGCCCACAAAGTCACGAACACCTTAGACAATATGGCGGCTAGCCTTACCAAGTTACCAATCGGTTTCGGCGAACATTTTCTTTGCTATCAACCTTTTTTAAGAAAGAGTATTCAGGGTAGGCGGTATGCAAATGAATCATATATTTATAGTGTTAACCTGTTTCATGGAACAGATGGGGAAATCGTCGTAAAAGCATCTGTATTTCGCTCCCAAAGGAAGAGGGAAAAGCCGCATTCAGTCAACCTCGTCGGCAAAGGCCAAGTCACTGATGCGCACTGGTGATATAGGCGATTACATGCTTTAATCCATCGTTTGCACTTTTCAATGTTGCGTTTCGGCTTCGGGAACTGGATAAACTTAATTCCTCCTTTCAATCGTTCTGGATAACGATCGTCTAAATTGCAAAGTCTCAATAGACACCATTTCACCATATTTTTGGCAGTTAAAAATGTATGGCATATCCCTATTTATAACCAAGCATAGGCATCTAGGCCTAGGCTCATGTATGTTTCGCATGTCTATGGAAATTAAAATGTCCGGGGAAAAGTTTTTGATCACGTGACTAAATGACGCTCAATGATTAGTCGGTTTATCCCTTTGATACTGTTGTTAAGGTCCCCACAAATTGGCGGCCATTTGTACAGAAACAAGGCATAGTGTGGGTCACATGTGTATTCCTGCCCTGTCTATTGGACATCACATTCTGATTGACAGTTGTAACATTTGACTGACACTCCAGACAGGTCCATTATAGAAAGCTACCCTAATTTTGACTGGCAGAGATATAATACGTGACACAGAATCAATGCTGTAGCCAACTATTGGGACAGTTGGGACAGTCCCACACAATTTTTGTAATGGGTACATAAATAATGTGCACATTTTTAAAAATGGGTCCAAATTATGCAGTTTTATGCATAAATGAGTCCACTTTTTGAAAAATGGGTCCATATTTTTCAATTTTAGCCTAAAATGGGTAAACTTTTAGAAAATGGGTCTAAATTTTTCATATTTTTGAGTATTAAAATGGGTCAACTTTTAAGAAAATGGGTCCACATTATTTGAATTAAAGTGGGTCAAACCTGATACTGTCCTGCACTGCTGAAAATCCTGGCTAGGGCATTGCACAGAATCTAAACAATTTATAATTAGCTGCTTTAATGCACATTTAAAGCTTACTAATGATTTTTAGTTTTTTAATTGATTTTATTCAAATACAGTGAAAAACTTAAATTTACACAATTGGCAACAGAAAAATAATAACCGTCATACAAATATCATGATATTGGGCATATAATAAAAATTATTGTTTTAATAAGGGTTCACCTAAAAATACTGTTCGTCGTCAAATCTGTTACTTTAGATCAACACATGAATTGAATTGGTTTTTTTTTTTGTGTTTTTTTTTTTGCTAAACCTGCTCGCGACCAAACACAAAAGTTTGGAGAACCATATTCAGGTCACAACCCATAGTTTGGGAAGTGTGAGCTTAGGGTATAGAAGAGACATAGCTACATTAAAATTGCTTTGTATGCAATTGTAAGCCTACTGCCACAAGGCCATGACCATTCCATGACTAAAAATGATTAGTAGAATACATAAACACTAAGAGGTTTATACTAGTCATTTCCTTTGTTTACCATAGGGCTGTAATGTGTTTTTTAAAAGTTTATTTAACAATTCATTTATCAATCATGAGGGCCCACCACAAAATGAGTGTCAAGGTTAGAAAATCAACAACTGAGTTTATATTACATTTGGACAGATCACTTTACTGTATAAGCTTTAATTTGGTCTTATAATGGCTTCACTAGGATAAGTAGATCCAGAGATGTGAGCATATAAAGTTCAGGTGTATGAGAGTACTAGAGAGGCAGGATGGGAAGGGTCGAGTTTACGTTTTAAAGACTGGTATACCGCCGAGCGGCTGGAAAAATGGCTAATGATTCGAAACCAAAAGAGGATGCAGTATAACTAAATTTTGAGAAAATTGGGGTCAAAGATAAACTAACCTGCACAGGACTAGATTTACATGTGCAGAGAACACAGCTTTAGTAAAAAAAAAAACCTACTTAAAAATCATACAATCATAAAATATAAGTAACAATTTACTTAAAAACATTAAAATCAATATTTTGTAAAAAATTGGACTTTGACATATTTTGGTGAATATCTCAATATGATTTCACCAACGATGCGTCTCATTTAGTGGTGAGACCTCACATTGTCTTCCTTTTTTGGTGCTGCTATTAGTGTAAAGATCAAGCAGAATGAGCGCATTCTCATCTTCGTTCTACAACATGTTTACCTTTCTTTCGAAATGATTCATAATTGATCACATCCTTTATGAAGCATGGTGATTGTGTTTAGCCAGGCTGCATTGAAAACAATCTTAAAACTACAGTAAATTCCGTCAATGCAACTTTAGTTTAGGCCCTATAAAAAAAAATATTTAAAGTCACCATATCTAGGCTGGAAAAGTGATTTCATTTCATTTCTATTTTTTATTTTGCTAAAGCCAAATATTACCCTTCAGTTGCTTGCTGGTGCATTGATATTCAGAGTAAAACATGTTTAAGATATACAAACAATTAAACTATTTACCAAAAGAATTTTTTTTTTAATGATTTTTCAAAAAAATAAAAAATAAAAAAATAAAAATTCATGAAAAAATAAACCACCAATTTTTCAAAAATATTTTTGTTCCAATACCATAGAAGACATGTGCAAGGGTGATGAACTAATAATTTTTTTTTAATGGGCCTTAAGTATGATTCAGATTTGATTTGTTTAATGGTAAACTGACCACTATATGACAGGTCAACTAGCGGCCATATACCACAGAACTATGCACACTATTTCAATCTCATTAAGTCCTTTAGATGAGATTATAAGCAATTATATGTACCTCAAAAATTCAATTAAAATATTGAATAGCTCATCTATAAGAATCAAATAACTGACTTTACATCAGAAGTTTTAATGATTTACGTATTCAGATATTTTACAACAAAAATCCTTAAATTACAATTACTTACTGCTCGTTAGTTTTTAATGACCTACCTCTTTAACTGACTTCCTACGACACCAAAATTTCTAAGTATCGTCATAAATAATTTCAACATCAATAATAATTTACATGGACCTTTACTATAATGTCCACCACACTTAACAAAGTGACCAATCAGGACGTGTTATTTAGGATAAGGAATATATGCACGTCCCACAAACAATGCGCTATTTAACTAGCTTGATGGAATAAAACCACAGACACTACAATTCCAATAGTTATATGCACATACACTGACTACCACCAGTCTTAACATTACAGCATTTATATAGCATTATTTCATGAAGATCAGAGCACCCAAAATTTAAAGCGCATTCAGTAACATTCTTCTCCCTAAGGGTTTCTTCGTGTCTGAGCTGTCTGGTAAACCGGTACCAGCTACTCTCATCTGTCCACAACAGGGGCTGTAGGGGCCAGTACACTGGGGTAGCACCCCCCCCCCCTACTTATCTCAATAAATGTACTGGGTTCTTTATAGTGCACATGAGCCAATTGTACAATGGGCTTATAGTGCTTATGCAAGAAGACTTGTTCCACCTCCAGAACCATACGCAAACATGTCGTTTGAATTAGCACTAACAATATGGCTTTAGGTTGCGGTTGCTGTCTTCACCACGCAGCCATACAACTTGCCTCTTGCACTAGCAGCTATATACATTGCTCTCACCTTAATTAAAACATATTTCAAGTAAAATAACAATCCACATTCCTAGAATCCATAAAAATAATATTACAAAATGTTTGTAATAACTATTAGCATGTTTCCTGCTATAGTTTTGATTCACATAACACCTTTTCCATAATTATGTAACACCATGTGGGTCTTTATAGAACTCTTTAAACAGCTGTTCACTAAACAGAGCAATGCCCTCGAATAAATTCTAACTTCTACGACAATATGACAACATAGCCACTCAACATGCACAATTATAAAAACATTGAGAACTATAATGCAACCTTTGACCTGCCAAGAGCTCTAGGGAAGGCTAGGTTCATGACAGGAAACTTCACATTACAATAAATAATTTTGCAAGAAGCCTGTTGTGGCTATTTATTATGACTGATTCACTTTAGACGGCAGGAGGAACACTGCATTGGCTACTGTGTCCCAGGGGATGCAGCTAAGCTGTTCTGATGTTCTCCCAAAGCACCACTGACCATGATTTATGATATCATACTTAGCATCTAATGTTGTTTCAGTAATCATAATTTCTGTACCCTAACAATATATTTTGATTTAACATTTCAAATGTAAGTTGTAGGTGTAGTTTGGCAATTAAGATGCTCACTTTTTAATCTTTAATGTTAAGCTGTCTGTTGACTATCATGTTTTATATGACAAATTCCTATGACTTGCCCTTTATGACTGCAATATATATGGATGTCATACGACATCATTTTGCCCAAATATGGGTAAATCATTAAAATAGAATCAAGAAAATTAAACAACCAAAATACTTCATAAGGAGGGTTGAAAATGGAAGTGTGGATCAATTAGTGAGAAAGATGATGGTGTTGTGCATGTGGTTAGCAGACTATTTATGAGCCTAGAGTGAGTGATAAAACTCATCAAGTTCATGACATAAGTCTAGCCATGAATGTATAAAATGTAGTTGGATTTACCATTCAAGGTGTGGACTAGCTCCTACAATAGCTTGCTTCTCCCCAAAGTGTCTCCTTGTGTCTGAGCTACCTGGTAAACCGGTATCAGCAATCTCTTGTCTGTCCACAAGAGGAGCTTATGGTTTATAATCCTTATCTGAGAGGACTTGTTCCACCATCAGAACCATAGTTCGAACTAGTGCTGATATTATGGCTGTATTTTGCACCACCCCTGCCTTAGCCGCTCAGCCATTCGACTCGTCATCGAGTCAAAGAAGTGGTATATTAAGCCAACTTCTTATTCTCTAATCATCAACTTCACTCGTTTAAGTCATTTTGTCAATGGAAATTATGATAATTAATGAATTTTTGTGATAAGGACATAACCTATAGTATGTGTTTACTCTTGGAAGAAAGTGTATACTTAAATGTACAGTATTGCTTATGTAACATTCATTACAATAATACCATGACACAGCACAGAACACCTGATATCTCAATATGTTCATAGTGTAAATGAAAGCTAATAGTCCACATGAAGTTTGTAAACTGCTGTCTACAGTACATTTTATTGGATTGAAAGACTTATTACCGGTGGGGTCCTTCTGGTAGTGAATTGGGCAGTCAGGGGTCCCATGGTAGAAGTCATCATTTCAGGGAGATCTGTTTAAACAGACTCTTTTAGCTAATTTGGTTTGCTCCTTATAGTGATACCAATCAACACTGACTTCCGTGAGATAAATGATAAAGTGTTAATACAGTAGTAAAAACATGCAGATTTAATGAATTTGCAGGAGATGATTATTTTTCGGGAGATTCTTGTCCAGTTGAGGGAGTGCGGGAGACCACCCTGATTTCCGGGAGACCATCCCGATTTCCGGGAGACCATCCCGATTTCTGGGAGACTTTGGAAACTTGGGCAGTACACCGCAAGATAATCTCCTGCTCTTTCCAAAAGAGTACAACATGTTCTTTAAATACAAAGTAATGAATGGTATTGCTAAAATAATGTTTATGCTTTTACTCACAGCCAGTATCAGTTCTGTCAATTGTTATTTCTCCTTTTTCTCCAAGTCCAACTGAATTGCGAACTGCTGCTGTTAACTCGTACTGCTGGAAAGGGTCTGAAAAAAAAACCAATTTCAATCAAGAGTCACATCATCTAAATTGCAATATTTTATTTCGCGAAATTCAGTACATGTTGATGAGTACAGGGCATAATCTACAGATGAAACAGTATAAATATTAAAGGCACTAAAGTTTACTACCAATCAACACATATGTAACATATCAACCTTTATGTTGACATCAGCATACATCATACAATACAAAGGTCTATGGCACCCAGTCAACAGACAGTCTGATTATTTTTTGAGGGGTGTTTTCCTATTGAAATGGTACTACTGTAATCTAGGTCACTTTTATACTTTAGTACATTCTCTGTATTTGTTCTACATGCAAATGATGACAACAATTCCACATATAATAATTAAAATATTGACACAATTCAAGGGTTTATCATTTTACATCCCAGCAGATACCTAGGCATACCCACCCAGTAATAACGTCAGAATCCAGGAGTAATCCAGCACTAAGTCCTCATAAAGATCTTTGTAATGTAATAAGCAGTTTTTTTATTTTTATTTTTTAGAATCCTAAGTTACTGTCTCTTATACACATCTAGATGTGTATAAGAGACAGCCCTTTGTTCAGCTATTAGTTTTTCTTGTTGCTGGGTGACCATAAACACCCTCCCCCTCAGCAGCCACTAAGAGGGTTGTCAGTTCAGACCAACTTGTAAAATTAGTACCTTAGGCAAGACATTCCTTGTTTCGCATACTTATTTCTTCAAAAATTATCGGAGGGTGGAATAAAAATTATAAAAAAAAAATCTTTTACTTATTTAGCAAATAGTTTTGCCTAAAATCATCCAGACAGAGGAGAATAGAAATAGAATACAATTTTTTTTATTGGTGAATGCAAAATAGGATGATTAAATGCTTTAAATTTATATAAATTGGAAGAAATTTCAGATAGCGGAGGGCATAATAATTGAAATTGGAATCATCAATATTTGCAGTTGGCGGGTTTGCTAAACAAGGTATAAAAAAATGTTTCGTTTATCAATGGACGTTTGAAAGTACACAATACAACTAAATATTATGAGTCATTAGTAGACTTTGGTAAACCTTCAAACAATTACAATTACTACATAAAGACTACATTGTTGGTTAATCATTGATACTGCGCTGACCCCTTACAAGTTGAACCCTCACCCTTCTGTGACTGATTCTATAAATTACTCCATTCATAAATTCTGTATGACTAAAAATGCGATTCTATCAATAAATTCATAAATTGTAGACATGACTGACAGATGACTTGGGATGAACTTATGATTGGCCAATGACATACTCTTGGGGTAGAGGTGTCACTAGAAACTAACCAAAGACACTGGTTCTATTTAAACAATCAATCACCAATATCCATGGAAAAACTGAAAGTGCACATTAACTACTGAAATTAAATTTGAATAAAAAAAATCTTACAACATGAATATTAGCTTTCCTATTTTTTGAAATCTCCTGAATTGGCTCGCAAATATTACTTAGGATTTTCATATTAAAATATCTATATATCAGTGAAAACTAAATTTGAGTTTTATTGTAATTAACTTGGTATCTGACATTATATAACAATGGGATTATATTGAATTGTTTATGTTTGTATTATACAGTATATCAGCACATCTTTAATAAGAAAATAATTATCAAAAATATTTGACTTTAAAATTCATTATGTTAACACATTAGTATATCTATGATTACTGTATAATTGTAAAAATATAAATAAAAGAAATTGTCACCGTCATTTTCAAAATTTTTGATGAAAATCTAACAATAAAAATATATAACAATGAAAAAAGTTGAACAATATCCCTGGACATTGTTCCATTGTTAGATCAGAAGTAAAGATGACTTAATCCTGAAGGAAAACACAAACAGATCCCAAAGGATAACACTTCATTTAAGGAAAGTGACGCACAACATACAGTAACAGACCTTTAATTCTTAAGGTCAAGTACGCATGACCTGGGAACTGTTAAATTAGAATAAAAAACAGAAGAATACAGGAGCAACAGGGATGTCATCCACACTGTAATACAATTAAACTTCTATTACATTAAAAAGAAAAGAAATAGAAAGTTGAGTGTGCATGTTTATAATAACAATAGTTTAGCAGAAAGAGATAAATACTCCTTTTTTTCAAAAATATTTAATGTTAAGTGCATCAAAGTACCAGCATTTTGTCTAAAATTATTATTATTATTATAAAAACAATTTCTTTACTATGCTAACAAGGTAAGAATTGCATTTACAACATACTAGACTATTGTAAATATTATTATTATTATTACTACTATTATTATTATTGTATTGTAATGTTAACACTGAACAGGGGTCTTTCCTGTTCTTCCAATTAATACTAGATCATATCTAAATGACAATTTCTACTGGCCATCCATAATGGGTATTCCTATCAAGTCATTCTTATCAGGCTATTCCTACTAGGCCATGTTTTGTTACTTTCCTTACATTCAACAGATCATGGAGGCTCCATGAACAGATCAAGAAGAATCCACTGAAATCTTTATATTGCTTACAAAATACAGGATATGCTAAACAAGTAATCTCTTAAAACACCAGGTGCTTTGTTGCTTAGCAACTAACATGTCCTGAATAAGGTTGACTGTCTAGCTTATAAACATCAGAAATAACATCACTTAAATCATGGAGGTATAAATTAAATCAACTGAATATACTTAATTACATACTACAGGTAGGCCTGAAAATGTTTCTATTTTTTTTCTAGTCAGCATGATTAATGAAGTCGGTTTTGACTTGTGAAGCCCAGAGTTGCAGCAAAGAATTGCAAAAGGTCCGACACTTGTGGTCTTGTTGGAACGTAATCCTATTACTACTACTACGAAGGAGAGTGTCCTTTAAAAGAAGAGTTTCAAGCGAACTCTATTTGAATTCTAATAGGGTTGCCCCTATTTCGTGGCAGTATTTTTGTTAATGTTTCATGGTGTGCATACAAATGAGGGCAGTTCTAAAGTATACTCTTTGGTCGCAGAAAATTGTGAGGCCAAGAGCTTCCAACTTTAACGCCTACAGCTAATTGTGAGGCCCAGAGCTGCCAACTGTTAAGGGATGCAGCTAATTATGAGGTTTAGAGCTACCAACTGTTGAGAGCCACAGCCAATTATGTAGCCATAACTGCACCCTTTGTAAGGCTTGGTGCTGCCAACTGTTAAGAGCCACAGGCAATTATGAAGCCTGTAGCTGCATTCAATCGTGAGGCTTGGAGCTGCCACATGCCGTGAGCCACAGGTAATTATGAGGCCTGTAGCTGCAGCCAATTGTGAAGCTTGGAGCTGCAAACACCCAGAGCTGCAGCCGATTTTGAAGCCTAGAGCTGCCAACAATTGAAGGCTGCAGCTACTGCAATTGTGAGGCCTGGGGCTGCAGCCACTTTTGAGTCCAAGTTCAGCCAATAACAGGCTGCCACCAACTGCATTTAAATAGTGTCAAATACACATCAGCAACTACGCAAGAAGCAACAAAAAAGCCTGTATGTACTTAATATTATTGGGTCACTTACAAGTACAAAGAACACATACTCATCTCCGTAGGGGAGAATCCTATGACACAGCAGCTAGAAGTATACTGGCACATGTTCTCCTATGTGGTGTGAAAAGTCACTAGTGTTAACATCCAACATTTTGAATATAGCCTAATTGCTTTTACATTTATAAAAAATAAAAAATAATTATCACTAATTATACTAAATGATATGTATAAGAATGAGAAAACAATTAAAAAGTAATTAATAGTAAATGATGTCTATGACTACTGCATTTGAAAACGATATACTTCCAAGTACTCAGCTTCAGGTACAAAACAGTAGTCAAGAGTCTGGCTTGCATCCAAAACAAAGGGGACTTTCCCATCCTCATAAAAATCTCTATTAGCTTTCAAAATGTTTTCCACAAAGCTACTCCTCTTACATTAAATCCTGGCCAAGCCAGAGAACTCATACCGACCGGAGCTTATTCCCAGTTTCAAGTAACATGAAAACATGATCCTCCTTCTACGTGGGATGCTAGTCCCCTACAGGTTACTTTCAGCACAAATGATATGAATTTAGGTAGACTGAAACAATGTGATAAAAGTGCCTTGCTCAAGGATACTTAAGCAAAATGCATAGTAACATGACAGTAATTGTATCATCGCTGTTGTTCTTACTTTTATAATTATATAATTATAATTGCATTCATATTGGTTTATTATAATTAATATAAATTTGAGTCCCAGGAGAACCCCTGCATTGTGTTATAATTTTAGACTCAGGCATGATATGCCATCAAATTCTTGAATACATATTTCAGAACTGAAACTCACCAAATTAATAACAAATGATGATGATATCTCACATAATTATGGCCCCAGAGTTGTCATATTACAGAGTAACTCATCTTTTAAGTCACATAGGCTTGACTGTAATACATGTAACTCCAACATGTGTCAGTACTGATTTTGTACAATTTAGACACAATTACAAGTTACTACAATTAGGCAAAGTACAGGGCTTGCTGTGTAGATAATACACTGACTGAACCACTGCATAATGGCTTGTGTTCAAATACTAACGGTATTGATAATAAACCCAGTCAAGTGTACTTAATAAAAGGATAAAAGTATGACTATCTGAACGATTTGATTTATTGACTAGCTTTACAGAACAGTAATGGGTGTGGACTAAAAATGATTCCCAAATCCGGGATCCTATGTCAGGAAATCACCAAGGACAACTTCTATTCAATCCGTTTGTGATTAGTATTTCCAATATTAATTATAGTACAAAAACTTCATTTGATGTGAGCACCTAAATGCATGAAACAACCAAAATCAACTTCATTTCTCCAGCCTCAAATACTCATGTGTCCTTGACATACATGCACTCTCCCGATTTACAGTAGGGGCCATCCATAATTTTCAACATTTTCAAAATCTTGTTTGTGTTTTTGAGGGCCCCTTTAAATCAGCACACGCTGGATGGGTCACCCTCTCGAAATATGGTTGAATAAATAAATAAATACTTAAAAGAGTATAAAACATGGTTGAAATTTTAGGCATAAATCATTAAATTTTATCTTTTTCATAAAAAAGTGTCTATGCATACAATACGCTTCCAACAACCTGAGCACCACCTCCCCAACCCCCCAAAAAAATTCTGTTTTGTACTCTTGTGAAAATGTTGAAAATTATGGATGACTCTTTTAGCATGGTCAGTCTCTATTTGGGACTGGTCTCTTACTGAATATCATGATAACAATTTCTTCCAGGTTCTCCCAAATTAGAAAGAAAAATGGCCTACTGTGCCAATACAAATCATCAAAAATCTTTGCCAATAAACGGTTACTCTTAGAGGTTACTGGAATTATATTTTGCATATTGCAGATATAATCTATTATATTTGACAGTTTTTTTATATTCTCATTCAATAAATAGCTGTGAAACCCTTTTGTTACTGAGCGGCGTTTTTAAAAATTATTTTCCACTTTTCCTTTCATAATACGTGGGTAATGAATTTTACAATGCACATTTCTATTATAACTTCTACTAAACTTTCAGGTTCATGAAACCTACTAGTTTACAAATGATTTTATCACCCTACATTGAACTATATAGTTGCATGCTAATCTCATGAAGAGTCCAAAATTTACCTACAACTCCTCTCCAAATGTTTATGTATTTCAGTAGTGGTTTGTATAGTTCTATATCCTTGAAGCAACCTGGATTTTTGGATTATTATATGCAGGGGATGCACAAACATCCCTCATCTTTGCACAGTTTACTTGTGTACATTAATTATCTAATGGTTCAGATAGAGTGTAAAAATCACCTAAGAACTCAGCATAAACATTGTCAGTACTACGCTGAATATTAATAATATTCTCAATAACTAAATATCTATATTGGAAACTAAGCAATAAAAACTGGATTAGAATAATGACTCACAGATGTTGTTTACAAACCTACATATTGAAACATACAATAAAATAATTACTAGAGAATATGTACGAAATCTAAACAAAGTAACTTACCTGTTTAAAACATTCACAACTTTGAAGTTACATTTTCCTACAGAAGTAAGCAGGAAACTCTTAGGTTTAAGATAAGTAAGTTTTGTACAATAAGAACATCCTGCATGGAGACTAAACTGGAAGTAGAGTCATCAAAGCATGATGACCTAATTGGGAGGTTACTGACGATACTCAACAATAGAGGGGGCTACCATCTATTTTCAATATCTCTGTTTATATCTATTTGCTAATTTAATAATAGAGGGAGCTTTTACATAATATATTAGGTAGTGTACCTGGAAATTTGCAAATCATTTTTATCAGAAATCAAATGAACCCGACAATTACATTTGCCAGTCTAATTAAATTATATGCAAGAAGAGACTTTGATAACCATATTGAGTCATAGTTTGCAAACATTATTTGGTATCACAGGATTGCAGATACAGGATGTTTACACTTACAGCAAAAAAAAAAACCAAAAAAAAAACCATTGCAGTCTCAATACAACTTAATTTAACCATTTATAGCAATCTTTCCCAAGGGGTATCACAGCAAGTTGTTACTTGTACAGTATTTATCAATTTGTTTTATTTGTATTTGCCAATTTACCAAGGAAAAAGAACATCATGATATGCAATTGACAAAATACTTTTCGTTTATAATGTATACTAGAAAATCACAACGTAGCACTCAATTTTTGGAAACATGCCGTGGGGGGGGGGGGGGAAAGAGTGCCTGGGCCTAGGCCAAGATACCGGCTGTAGGAGCAGTAAATGCAGCGTTGAGATGTACAAAAGACTGGCAGGTGAGGAAGAAGACGTTTATATTTACAAGGGACTATTAAAGTGAACAAGATAAGAACTTACCAAGGTTCTCCAAGTTAATCACCATTGCATCTGATATAATTGGGTTCCACTTGGTTTGACCTAGTTTTCGGTAATATAACTCATATCCGATAATACGTCCATTTGGCCTATCAACAGGAAGGATCACACACACAAATTTTCTTGTAAATCTTCTAACTACTTCAACTTTATTTGGTTTTCCTGGAACTGTAAGTATAGCAAACTTAGTAAGTAATCATTGGAATAGGGGCAATATAAACAAAATACATCAGTATCATAATCATCATCCTTATCATTAACATCATCATTATTGGCATTATTATTATTATTATTATTATTATTATTATTTTTATTATTATTAAAGTAATATTATTAATGGTAACTCATGGAGTGGAGCTGTGGCATGGTGGCTAAAGGCCAACTCAGGAAGCGTTGTACGACGTAGCCTGACACGATTCATCATCAGGGACAGTATTAAGCCGTTAAATATGCCAAGAAATTCTATGACGCGACTGCCCCCTACGCAATATGTCACGTCTGCGTTCAACTCACACGGACCTGACGCTACAACAAATCACATCGGGATGCGTTGTACGACGCTCTACGAGTTTGCCTTAAGATGCATGTAATACAACAACGATAATTTACACATTACTGATGACGATCATGACAATGATGGTCAATATGATGATGATAATGACAATGATTATGATGTTATGATGATGATTATGACAATAACAATGACCATGATGATGATGAAGATGATCAATGATGATAATGACAATGATATTGATACCAATGATGATGATGATGATATCCGATTTCATTTTTGCGTCAGGAGTAATAATATGAATAAATTAAAGCATTACCTCAGTCATTGAGTGGTTAAGACACCAAGCTAGTTACCTGGAGGTCACCAGAATTACTTGCGAGATACTTTTTCGCAATCATTTAGAAACGTACTAAGAATTCAGTACTATAATACAGTAGGGCAAAAATCGATTCAGATGCTGATAATGACAATGATGATGGTAAGACAAGGTTTAAAATATCATTTAACATTCTACTTTAAATCATAATTGCTTTTCATTATTTTCCATCCATTATATATATTTTAGGATAGATATAATTTGGTACATACTGGCTTCATGTGTAGTGATTGATAGTGCATTGCTGTATGGTCCAAAGGCACTCGCACCAACAGCATCATTCTTAACAGCAACTGATATGTTGTATTCTGTTGCCGGTAATAAATCCTCAAGAACAGTTATCTGAAAATAATATAATAATGACCTTTGCATCATCGACCAAGTAATAACGTCAAAAAGTCCGATTGCGTACGTTTTTCAAAGTGATAATGTATATTATTCTTAATAACAAAATCAGATTTGTCGTATTTATTTATTTATAATTCAATCTTTTCCATTTCTGCTATAATAATCACTATTAGTTCAGTTTCAACGAACTACCACCAACGCAAGTCGTTAAAATCAGCGCACATGTTTACAATGACAGCAATTTATTTGACACCGCGAAGTGTAAACAACACAATTGAACAATCTAAAAACTACAAAAAAAACATGACAGAAAGGTCCATAAAGTATACAGACGTTTTAATGAGAATTAAAACAATATTTTGTTAAATGGGAGAATGCTAGCGATTAAAATAATTTGTTTTTTATCAAAGGTAAATTTAGCTAGGGCCTAGAGTCTAGATTGTGATAGACCACGCTGCAACTCTGTTGGTTGGTTCGTACTGGTCGGCTAGGCTAGGTAGTGGAAACTGACACCCGATCTACAGTAGTTTACAAATTTTGTCAGGTTTTTTACCTTGGGGTTTGTAAAATACAGTAGACGTTTTATTAAACAAGCCTTTCCACCGTGTAACGTTTACGGCCTCGAAGCTGGCTGGCTGTTTATCTGGCTCTAACTTTCATCGAATGCAACTAGGGAAAATCGTATCATATTTTAAAACTTAGATAAGTGACTTAACTTCGACGTGAACCAGGCTAATAAGAATTCAGACCTACCGTTTCATTAGATGATACATCTTTAGTATTTAACACTCGAGAACTAGAATCAAAGTAGATAAATTGGACCCTATATCCAACAATAACACCCCTGATGTCATCATCAGGGGCAAGCCAGGTCACATTGGCTGAAGTTGCATTGATAACTTGTGCTTGCAATATTTCAGGAGATGATAGAGGTTCTATAAAAAAAAAAAATCAGTAAATGAGTCAAATAAATTAGATAATAGTACAAACAATTTTAAATTATAAATATATTTTTTTAATTTTGCAATTGATCTTTGGAAATTGAATCCCTAATTCAGTCAATGGCTGCCAAGGATTCAATTGTTTTTTTACTGTTTTCAATATAAGATACCAAAATATAAATGACAAAATATATTAATAAAAATACAAATGTTGAAGAATGTTGAAAAATAAATTGATAAAAACTTCAATATTTAATAATTATTTAATTAAAGTCACATATTTAAAACTGAACCTACCTCTGTGAATTGTTATAGGCCTAAAGGTTTCAACTAAAAAAGCAAATTTACAAAAAAATGACCCCTTGACATTGAAAAGGGCAAATGATATATATTGGTTTTAAAATGTTTTTATAGGTGCTGTGTAAATAACCACAGTAAATATGGCAAGGCTTGTTAAGTATATAGACCTCTCTCCAGTCGATCATTAACCAGTATAATGTTAATTATGAATGGGGAGATTTCGAATTTGTGTGAAGACACGATGCTAGTATGGAATCACTTGGATCGTCCTACCTAGCGTCCTATGTTCTCTGCATACATAGATTTGGCCAATTTGCATTCCAGAACCTACTCGACGAGGTGACCTTAACGTTCTCGCATGCGCAGATGACTTTTAGTGACATCATTACGTTCTACGCCCTACCATTGTCGTACAATCGAAAGCTCCCAATTGGTTACTGGCATCATACTGATACTCCCATCCTAAAAGGACATCACCCCCAATATCTACACTCTGCTACAAATAAACAAAAATCTTCAACTTACTCCCTGCCTTAGTCCTGATGGGGTCTGAGACTGGACTAACTTTAGAATAATTATTGAAAAGAGCAGTCACTCTAACAACATATTCGGTGTAGGGCTCTAGTCCAGTGGCATTTGCCATAATAGCACTTGGCCCCTGTGGTTCGCTTGAAATTCGTTTCCATTGTGAATCATCCTTTTTCCTGAATAAATTATGAAATTGGAATAAAAATAAAGTATCATATTTTGTTAGTGCATTTTTTTTTGTCCACAAGTAAATTTTATGTGACAAACTTGTGTGATGTGTCAAATATGGGCATATCACATTTATTTGTCAAAAATTTGATAGTGTGGACAAAGCTCTAGAATTCAGCCGATAGGCTTAGCCAGCGAGCCGTCCGGCTGTCTTTTGGACGGCCAACAATTATTTAGGACGGCCACTTTTACCGTGACACCTTGGACGGCTTGGCCTAATCAGCTCGGCCTAGCCTAATTGGGCCTGGCAAATTCTTTATATTCTTCAATTCTATCGAATGTTACATTAAACTAAAGCTAAATCTAAATATGGAGAAAACATAACAGTATATAGCAAACAAACAAACAAATAAGAAAAACATTAATTTTCTACACGGTCTAAAGCTCTGACTGCACTGTCAAGTTTTATGTGAACAAATATTATATGTGTTGTGTATCTAAAAGTCTTGAAATTGTGGGTTGGGGGGGCTGATGGGGGAACGAAGGTCATATGGGAAGAGCTCAATGATTAGGTGAGGTGCGGCAGCCAGCAAAATAAGGTAATTTTAGATGATTTCTGGAGGGCAAACAGGGATGGTGCGAATATTTTTACACTACTGTGTATGAATTAATTGCTGATATAGGACATGATACACTTGTACAGTATATTTATATATGGGCATGATGAAATTTAGATTTTACTAGCATTGCATAAAGGTTGAGGTGCATAATACTACCATTGAGCTATATGCTGAGTACCTGTGAATTCCAAAGGTAGCACAGTTGGCTACAGTAAGTGTGCACTTAACCATAGATCGGAAAGATAAGTAGAGGACTTGTCTTCTGACATAAAGTAAGTTCATCATACACCTTGCTGAGATTAGTGTCATGTAGCTATTTACAAGTACACCCACATAAATGTAAACTAACCTAATTTCCACAATGAAGCCATCTATAACATCACGACCATTGCCTGGTGCCCACATTACTTGTATCGAAGTGGATGTCCCAAGATTAGCAATTTCTTGTGGTTTTCCTGGAGGTTCTGGATCTACAGTACATCAACATTATAATTTTTTATTTAAAACATAATTCCAGCACAAAACATTGATATGAAATGTTATTAAGACTGAGAGACAGGATATTATTACCAGCTGTTATATGAAGGTGGAGGAAAATATACAAGAGCCAATCAAATAATACTTGATTCAACCTTCGCCAGCAGACCATTAGATTTTTTTATTTCAAGAAATACTGTATAATTATGTTTTGACATTCAAATAATTTCAGTTCTATTGTATGAACAATATTCCATTTTTAACTAGTGTACAGTCAGTCACTCCATGGAGTGCATATCCGCCACATGCCCAATACAGAATAATACACGCAGTACGTTTATAGGCAAGACGGGAAATTCCATTATTAAAAAAGGGAAGTAAAAAGTAAACCAAACCTTTGACTATCAAATTCACATAGGTTGTATTACTAATAGTTGTGGTGGAGTTATCTTCTTCTACATCTCCATACACCATACAGGCATAGGTACCAATATCAGATAACACCACTTCATGCACTTTCAACTTGCTCTGATCGTGGCTCACAATAAAATACTTTCCCATTTCGATAAATTGGGAATCGATGATAACCACATCTTTGCCTGTGATGTTCACACGCACCCATTCAACAGAGGAGACTTCTGCGGGGAGGATGTTGGTGGATGCCGTGCACGGTAGAAACGCATTTGCGCCGATGAATTGAGTTACATTCTCAGACTTTAGTGAATGGATTCCTGAAATTATACAATAATTTTATAACTGAATAATATGACTTAGAGATTGTTTAATATAGAATGTAGTAGAAAAAAAATACAAATAAATATATTGTTTACTTTTAATAGGCCAAAAAAAATAGTCACTTCTCGCTGCCATGCTTCCTTTTTACTGTTTACTCCACTTTACATTATTGAGGTCAAAATAAAACTTTAATGAACCTAAAAATCTGCTTGAAGTACTCATAATTGAATCTGTAAGTAATTAGGAACAATAGTAATTCTGCTAGATAATTTGGTGTTCATAAATAACATTTGTACTGTTAATTAATCAAGCATAGCATGGGAAAATATTTCATGTGAATAAGCAGTCACCACTACTATGGCTTCTTCATGTTAAGGAATAGTTAGTTTAAATGTCAATATAATTTTTATTGCTTACGATAGAAAGGGTAGTTGTTCAACAGTAGTACTTTATGATTAGGAAAAAAGTATGCCTTCTGGGCCAGCCTACAACTATATCATCCCTAACTCTTTATCAAGAAAATCTAGTACTTGAATCATTACCAACATGGTTTATATGTTACTAAGTTGGAATGGCACCATGCTAAGTACCAACTGAGCATCAGGGAATATGACCCCAGGGAGCAAAGTATGTTCATAGGTGTTTGATCCAATGGCTATGGTAATGCTATAGTAAAAGTACATTATGCACTTGGTATAAGATCAACATATTATTAAGTACTAAGCTTAGATCTACTGCAGACACATTTCTGAGCCCATATTCATTAGGAAGAGATTTGAGCAATCTAATTGTGATGTTAGTTTGAACACTAACACAATCATGTCAGATAGCTGTGCACTGCATCTTATTAGTATTTACGAACATCACTTAAAGCCCCATTGCCGGAAAAAATTATTTTTTTTAGAAAATATACATTACTCTAATTATTATAAACAATGGGAAAATATTGGCATAAATTTTAGCTTTACACAAAAGAATTAAAAAAATGAGATATACAGACTATTTCTCATAGGAGATGTAGATTGCATTCGCTGGAATGCTCTTGCTTTTATGTATACTTTATATAGTCAATAAAGTGCACCCTCTCTAATGAGATTAGTTTTTTGTACTTCGCATCTCACACACAGCGGTTGATCGAGTAGGCCTGAGATTTATAGTTTAATTGTCAAGGGTATTGCTACACTCTGCAAACCTCCAAAACACTGCAAACCCCATCCAAACCTTGGGATAGCAATTAAATCATGTAGTATAGGACTCAATTTGGTATCTCAATAAAAAAAATCATAATGTTACATTCGTAAAAACCAATTTTGGGGTTAAAAAAGCCATTTTTTGTATTAAAAAATTGCCAAACCCCGCAAATTTCCAAAAAACACAGTGCAAACCCCATCCAAACCCTGTGATGGTGATTGTATCATGTAGTATAAGATTCAACTTTGCAGACCTATTGCAAAATTAAACAT